GGCCACCAGCTGCCTGTCCCTGGTCCCGCGGAGGCTCCGACTCAGGGTCCCCGAGAGAATGCCCTCCAGCCAAGCACGGCCCAGCGTCCCCGGGGGCCAGAAGTACAAGCACCCAGTGTTCTCGGAGGGAGGGCGTCTGGGGTGCCTCCGGGCTGCGGGCGTGGGGCCCCCCTCCCCACGGGTGCGGGGAGCTGGGTGCCTCAGGCCTCCCACACCTCCCTGGCGGCCAGGGCTGCGTGCAAGGCCCGGCGAGGAGGGGCCCCGGGGTCGCCGCCGGGGCCGCTGGACGGGGAGCCACCGCAGGGGACCCGCCCAGCCACCCGCCACCCTGTGCCTCGGTGTCTCACAGGGGCGCCAGGCCCCGGCGGCCCAGCCTGGCGGCAGAGAGGGGCACAGCCCGGAGGCCATCAACCCGCCAAGTCCTCTGTCGGCAGCGCGACCTCTGGGGACAGCATTCAGCCTCCGTCGGCCGTGATCCTCACGGGAAAGATGCACCACGGGCCTTGGGAGGGGGTCCCGTCCGGCACACAGGCGCGTCCCGGTGCTTCCCAAAGAGAACCATCCCGTCAAACTGCCGGAGCAGGGCCGGTCACTACTCGGCTCCGGCCCGCCCTCCCTGCCCGCCCTGCCAGCTGCCGGGGCGCTGGCTCAGTGGGGCCTCCCCGAGGACACAGCCTTCTTAGAAACTGCGGACAAAGCCGGAATTTCCCCAGGCCTTCCTGGGAACCGAGGGGCCGGGAAACGTCCCTCAGTGAGACTGAGCCTCTGCCGGCTCACCCCCCTCCCCGCCCACGCCAGCACACCCGCCCCGCACGGCGCTGCTGTGGGACACCCCGGGGGGCCCCGCTGTCCCTCCCGCCCGCCCTCATGGGCCCACTGCCACGCCGGGCAGGTGGCCTTTCAGGGCCAGGCTGTTTTTTCCAGGGGCTTTCCTCTGCCCAGGAAGCGGCCCTGCCACCCAGCGAGGCCTCCTCGCCCCTCCCCTGGGGTCTGCAGGACGGCCAGCGCCCCATCCATGGCCACGGCCCCCAAGGGACACGTTCCCGTTCCCTGACAGCCGCCCCCACGGTGCTCAGCCCGTCCTGGCAGGAGGCCCCGCCCCCTGCACGTCCGTGGGGGCGGCACCGTACCCCGCTTCCGCCGGGGCCCAGGGGGCCCACCTGACACGGCCCCCCGCAGCCTCGCCCGCTCTGGGCCGACAGCCCGGCCCAGCGCCTCCCAGCAGGGCCCTGCCTCCCGCGCCCGAGGCTCTGCCAGGGCACACGCAGGCCCACGGCCCCGCCTCCCTGCCCGGCCCTCGCGGGCCCCGCCGGGCTCCCAGGGGCACGTCCCCTTCCAGGAGTGCCCCGTGGCCAAGGTCCCCACCAGGGACCCCGCTGTGAGGTCTGGCTGAGGCTGCTCCCCCCAGCCCTGAGTCCCTGGCTGGGGCTGGTTGAGAAGATGGGGGCGGGGGCGGGGACCCCCTTCCCCACGGTGGGGCCTGGGCCGCGTGGACCTGCGGCAGTGGGGGTGGGGGGCGGGAGGCCGGCCCGAGCCCAAGGCCCCAGACAGCGACCGACTTGCTGCTTCCAGAGCTGAAGAGCAGAACTACCCGGGCCTGTGTCCCAAGCCACAGCTTCCCTGACACAGTGACAGCAGGCGGTTTCTGTGCGAGGGACCGTGCCGCTGTGGTCGGGAGTGAGAACGGACAGGCGTCCCAGGCCGGCAAAGGCCGGCGCTGGGGCCCGGCGCCCGCCCCCACCCTCGGGCAGGGACACGGACGGGCGTCCCCGGCAGCCGCCGAGGGCCCCCCCGGATGCACGGCCCTGGGACAGAGCGGGCGCGGCTGCTTTCCGTGCCCAGTGGGGGCGGCGCTGCGCAGGCCACGTGGGTGTGGCGCACGCGTGCTCAGGACCCAGGGCACCGCTCCCGCGGGGCCGGCGTCGGGGACCCACTCAGACGAAGCCTGTCCGTCAGTGAGGCCGCGTCTGACGGGCGCGGTGACCAGCGTCCCCGCGGGACCGTGGAGAACGGCTGCAGCACCTCCAGGGACAACGGGTCACTGGCAGGACAGCGCAGCCGGCCCCTCCCGAGCGCTGGGACTGCCTGAGCCCAGGGCAGGCGCCCCTCAGGGGCGGCAGGCGCCTGCTGGGCCGGCGGTGAGAGTCCGGAGCGTGTGGTAGAGACCAGGAGGCAATGACGACCCGGCGGGCAGGGCGCTGCGTCCTGAGGTCGGGCCCCCGCAGCAGGGGGCGGCAGGCGGCCCGGAAGGCCTGGAAGGCAAGGGCAGCCCGAAGCCCCGGCTCCCAGGGACCTGCTTCCCTGAAGACAAGCGCAAACACCCAGGGAGGCTCCCCGGGCACCGCCGCGCCCACCTGGCGGCCCAGCCCTCCCGGACGCTGGCGGCGCCGCCCGGAGGCGGCGCGGGACGGTGCTGGGAGCGGGGCCTGCGCGCCCACAGTTGGGCCAGAATCACAGGCTTTGGTCCCTTCGGGAACAAAATAATTACAGGGACCTGAACTCTCTGAACGCAGCATGGACGTCGGTTGGAAACCGTCTTCAGAAGCAGAAATACATCTTTATTCAGAGTGGGAAGAAAAAAGCAGCTAGTTTGGGGCGTGCAGCTCAGGGAAAGAACACATTTAAGAAAGCACCTGCAGACAGGGCCTGGACGCTTCCGCTCTCATCTGGCCGGCGAGCGCCCATCCACAGAGGCCGGGCCAAGCCCGCGCGCCTGCCGCCCTCCCAGTGTCCCCGGGGCTGTGCCTTCACGTCCCAGGAGAAGCCGCCATCATGGAGCCGAAAGCCGGGCGGCTGCACGCTGCCAGGACCCCCACATCCAGGGCGCGGCCAGCCTGCGGGGCAGCGGGTCCTCTTGGAGCAGCGGTCCCCCCTCGCCGCACACGCCGGTCCACTTAACCACCTCTGACCCCTCCCTGGTCCAGGCGGTCCCCGGCGGGGCTGCAGAGCAGGGCCAGGACGCAGGCGGTGAGTGGCGCCCCGAGACAGCAGGTCCCAAATCCAGAAACAGAGCCCGTGACCTTCCGCGGGGAAGGTGCCGCAGGGGAGGTTCCACGAGGGGTTCTGCGAAGAGCAGGTCGCCCAGGCGGCCCACGAACGCTGTCCGGGGGTGCTCATAGGAAGGAGGCCGAGGGAGTTTCAGCCCGGAAGGAGAGAGGCCACGGCCCGGCAGCCCCCCGCCCGCCCCCGGGAGCTGGAGAGCGGCCGCGGGGAGCCTCCGTGGCGAGCGCCGCCGGCCGGCACCTTGATGTTGGACTTCCGGCCTCCAGAACTGCGAGAGTAAGTTTCTGCTGTTTCTAGCTGCCCAGAGTGCAGTCATTTGAGACCGAGGCCACAGGAAGCTAACGGGATGGGGCTGGCCGCGAGGGAGTGGCCAGCTCAGGGAGGTAGATAATCCAGCGCCTGGAGCTGCCCCGCTCAAGGCAGGCCAGGAGGGCTCTGTGCCGTGTGAGCCCCAAGTCCTCTGCCCACGGGCAGCCCATCGCTGCAGCTGGTGGGGTGGGGGCCCCCTGGTTCTCAGGAGGCCAGACGGTGGCTCAAGGGCCTGTCCAGCTCACGTCCCGTCTGTGCGTTGCTCACAGGCCTGTGGGGCGTGGACCGTGGGGGCACTCTGCCCGCTGGTTCGGGGAGGCGCCTTCGCCTCCCCTGTGGAAGCCCCGCCTTCCCCGCCAAAGGGAGTCCGGGTCCCCTTCCCGCCGGGAGGCCGCGCAGAGCAGGAAGCCGGGGCTCGCGGGTGTTGGCAGGGCCGCCTGGCTGGTGAGGGCGTCCGCTCGCTCAGTCCAGTCCTCAAGACACAAAACCAGAAAGCCAATCAGGCGAGGACACTGGGTGCTCAGGTGCTCCCAGAGCCACCGCCACTGCTGGGGGCCTGGCGGGGCCCCCGAACCCAGAGCCGGAAGGAAGACGACTCGGGAGAAGCCCGTCTGTGGGCCCAGGCGCTCAGCCGGCCAGCCTGCCCAGAGGATTCTCCCTCCGGCCTCTGGCCCGCGGCCGGCCCCGGATCCACGCACCAGGCTCTCCCGCTGGGCTCAGGGCTGCAGGCTTCACGTGGGTGACGCTGCGCGGGCTCGCTGTCCCTGTCACTTCCCGCCGTGACTGGAAGAGGTCTGACCTGCTCACCACACCCGCGATGACCAAGGGGCACACACGGGGGGGCCCCTCCACGCTGCCCCCAGACCAGGCCAACGGCAGGAGGGGCCTTGTGAGCAGAGGGGTGGGCCGGGGTGGCAAGGAGAGCAGAGAGAGGAGGTCCAGCGGACGGTCCCCAGGCCACAGGGCGTGGCCGCAGCCCAGGAGCCTGAGCCAGGCCACAGCAGGGAGGGGTCCTCGGAAGGCGGCCTGTTGCTGGACGTCCCCCACGGAGCCTGCCCCACATGGTGACAACCCCCAGCTCACAGAGCGTCCTTCCAGGGGGCGTGGCAGGAGAGCCTGTGCGGTTCTCCTGAAGGGAGACACTCCAGAAGCAGGGAGAGCCCACCCTGGCGGCGGGCAGAGGGGTAGGGGCCGCACCCGAGGGCAGGCAGCTCGGGGGGACCCCCCCCCCCGCCAGCCTGACTACTGTGCGCGAGCCGGAGGGGGCAGGAAGCGGTGCTGCCCCGAGTGGTCGCAAGAGAGGGACCGCACCCGTGCGCCCCCGCGCCCCCACCAGCTGAACCGCCTCTTTGAAAACCGCGTCCCTTTCTCCCAAAGTCTCACACGGGGTCAGGCGCTCCTTCAGGGCACTTTGGAAAATGGCCCCAACCCTCGAGCCAGCTCTGGTTGGAAAGCGCCGCTGACGGCTGGCCCCCTGCCAAGCACGTCTGGGCTCGGCGCGGCGGGTGGCCTGGCCGCCACGCAGGGCAGTGTTCTGGAAGGCCCCTCGGAGCAGCGAGGCCAGTGGCTGAGGACTCCCCCATCCCACCCCCCCGACCCGGAGCAGGGAGACAGAGACGCAGGCGCGGCTCGCGGTGGCCGGAGGGGCTGCCCTCCATGCGCACACTCACCTGGCCAGGGAGCCCCACTCACGTTTCAAACTGGGACAGGAGCTCCCTGATTTCCGGGGCCGCGTGTCGCGCGGCATCGGCGGCCTCTGTTACGGCTCTCCGATACATCCCCTTCTTCTTACGGTTAAATCTCAGTTTGAAACATTCAGAGAAAGGGGAGAGTTTGGAAATGGACAAGAACGACGTAGTTGGAGAACCGAACCATGAGACCTTCGCTTCTTGCCAAGAGGGCGCCCCGTCCTCCTTCTGGCTAAGACTGATGTCAAGCACACGCGCTGGCCACCAAGGAAAACCATGAATCTTACCCCACACGATGTCCCCCACGGCCACGGTCCTCCCGTCCTCGGTGACGCACTTGGAGAGGCTCTGCGTGTGCAGCCGGACCGTCAGGGGCGGGACCGTCGGCCCCGCCTCCTTGGACGAGGACGGCCCTGGCCCTCCGTCGCCAGGGCACGGGTCACGCGCGTCCGGGGACGTCGCTTCCACGCTGGATGCTCTGGACCCGTCCGGGCCGCCGCCGCTGCTCGCCGACTCCCGGGCCGAGTCGGCTCGGCTCCCGGGGCAGCTGGCGAGCGAGGCCGGGCGGCCGCGCCCGTGTTCGCCCTGGGGGCTCCTCCTGACGCTGTCGTCCTCCTCGCCAGAACTCTCTGAGCACAGGTCCACCACCACAGGGCGGGCAGGGCCACGGGCCGGGGGGACGGGCGGGCCGGCCCAGGGGCCTTGCCCGCGGCCGTTGAGCTCCTCCACCAGCTCCGCCTTGTACACCGGCTCCTGCTCGCCAGCCCCCAGGCGGTGCGGCTTCAGGCGGATCTTGGGGGGCGGCGGGGTGGCACAGGGGGGCACGGGCCGCGTCAGCTTCAGCTTGGGAATGGAGGCGGAGGGCCCACCGGCCGGCCTGTCCTGAGCTGCCTTGGGCTCCTGGGCGCCGGGCGGGGCCGGCGGGGGGCAGAAGGGCCCCAGGGAGCCGTGCACGCGGGGCGGGATCTGCACCACCTCGCCGGCGCCCTGCGGCGTGCTGTAGGAGATGCGGATGGCCGGGCTGCGTGCCACCCGCGCCTGCGCCTCCTCCCGCCGCTCCCTCTTGCTCCTCCGTGCGGGGGCTGCGGCCACTGCATCGCCCCCGCTCTCAGGGTCCCCCGGCTTGCGGGGCTCCCTGTCTGGGTCGGGGCCGCTGCCCAGTCTCCGGCGAGGCCGGGGGGTGGTCGGGGGTGTGGGGCTGGCTTCTGGGGGGCTCAGGGTGCTCTTGCACTTCTCACAGAGCACCCGCCGCGGCCGCAGGCAGATGGGGCTCAGGGTCAGCCGGCCCAGGTCACGGTTGCGGGACAGGCGCCGCCTCGTCCTCTTGATGGCCCGGGGGGGCGGCTGCGGTACCCACTGATGGTAAGTGTTCCTCAGCCAGAGCGGGGGTGGGAAGGGGGCGCCCTCAAAGTACGGCGGGAAGGGGGGCCGGCTTCCGGCGGGCAGCGGCACCAGGGCTGGGGGCAGCTCCGGGCAGGGGGGCCACGGCGGGGGCCCAGCCCCCAGCTGCACGGCCTCTGGGTCCTCCTCCACGGCAGCCGGGCCCGGGCAGCCGTTGACGGGGGCGTCCTCGGCCTGGGGCAGCGGAGCGGACGGAGGCAGGCCGAAGAGCCCGGACCTGGAGGGGAGACAGAACGGACGGTCAGGAGGGCGAGGGGCCCGCCACGCCCGCCGCGCGGGGGTCCCGGGGGAGGGTGAGCGCAGGGGCCAGGTGGCCAGCCCCGAGCTCAGCGAGGGGCCACACCTGGCGCCAGGGGACGCGGGCCCAGGCCCGGTGCCCGAAGGTCTGGGGCCGGCCTGGCCGCCGCGGGGGCCGGGCCCATGGCCAGGGCCCGCGCTCACAGCCCACGGCTGCTCCCAGCGGGAGGACCCCAGGTGGGCCCCTGGGGGGTCCCCAGTCCCAGGGCCCAGGACGGCCACCGGACCCATCCCAGGGGCCTGGTGCGTATCTAGGGGACAGGGCTCAGCTGCCGAGCCGGGCCCCTGGGCCGGAGCCCACTCTGCTCTGAATGGGGAGTTGGCCCTGACTGTCCCCGCCGCCCTCAGGTCAGGGGGTCCCCAAGCCGCCCTGGCCCATCACAGCCCCGGGGACCCCCAGCCCCTCGGTCAGGGCCTCTGGCCCCGGGACGGGGAGCAGCAAGGGCAGGGCTCTTGAGAAGGCGGGAGGCCCACCTCCTGGGAGGGCCCAGCTGCGGCGTGAGGTACAGCCAGCGCCCCAACACCCCGCCACCGCGGGACCTGCCGGCCCAGGGGCCTGCTCTCTCCCGGGGGGCGCTGGGCCCCCCAGGCCCGATCGTGTCTTGCTCGGGGCCACGCGCTGGGCCAGTGGCTCAGAGCGGCCCGTGGGGTGGCCGCAAACACCGGCCTGGCTCCAAACGCAGAAAACAGGCCCGGGGCCCGCGCCTTCCTCTGCCACGAGCGTGTGTCACTTTGAAACAAGTGTGATTCAATCTGTAAGACCGCCCCATTGAAAAGTAACAATCTGTGTTACTTTTCAGCACAGAAATAGACGTTTAGGCAAGCGACAAGCAACCGGGGCTGGGAACGTGGCATCTTTCCCTTCCTTTTCGGACCGACAGGTGCTTTGCTACCTGCAGATGGCGTCCCCACTGACTGCCGGCCGGAGGGCGCGGGGTGCTGGGAGGGGCCGACAGCCCACAGCGTCGCTAACTCCAGCGCGCCCCGAGCACCCGGGGCCGGGGGCGCCTGACCCTCAGCAGGAGGCGTGGCCAGGCAGGGCACGGGGACAGGACGCAGAGCCGGCAACGAGGCCGCGGGGCAGGCGCCTGGGCCCTGGCCTGTCACCTCCCTGGCGCGGACTGCCACGCGGTCACGCCGCGCACTGCGGGGCACCTCTGCCCTGTGAACGCGGCCACTGTCTGCGCCGCTCAAGGCCGCAGCAAAAGCCTGGGACTCTCAACAAGCTTTCAATTTTCTTATTTTTCCCATCAGACCAGGAGGCCCACAGTTAGGGGGTCCATAGTCTGGGGGGTCCACCCAGCACCTCTGGCCTGAGCATCGCTCCCAAGGCCTCCCCGAAAGCCCGTCCCCCCGCCGCTGCCGGCGTTCAGGCGATGGCGGGCTCGCTGGGACGCCCTCCCCTTCACCCGCAGCTGCGCTGCGCCGCCCTCCCAGACCACCGGGCCCGGCCCACAGCCCGCCTTGGTCTCCACGCCTCACGGGCCCCCCATCCCCTGGCCTGTACCCCCAAACTGCCTGCCTATGCTGGAGCCAACCCCCACCCCCAGAGTGGGAGCCTGGGCAGCCCCTCTGCCCCCCGCCCCAGAATCCCTCGCAGGACCCTGCGCTGGGCCGGCCGGCCCGGGGCGGGGAGGCTCTGGGGCGACCGCCCCCACACACAGGTTGGGCCGTGGCGGGTGGGGTGACTCGCCCGACCCCCAAGGTCCCCACAGCTCCAGTCCAGGGAGGGGTTTGCCCCCCTTAGGATACATGCCCCTCAGGGGCCGCCTTGCACATTTAGGGCAAACACAGGCTCCATGGCCAGAGACCCCGGCCTGAGCCAGAGGGCAGTGTGGGCCCCCCGTGGCGGCGGGCCCCTCCCTGCCCGGCCCCGGCCCCGGCGTGCTGGCCCCGGGGGGGTCCTTCCCACAGCAGCGGCAGCCCTGTGGAAGGCCCCGCGCCGGCAGGGAAGGCCCCGTGACTCGGGCATGACAGGCAGCCATACTTCCTTCCCGGGGCGGCTGCCCTGCCCAGGCCACACCCACGCCGGCCTGGTGGGTAAACAGCGGCCGGAGGGCAGGACGGCCCCATTCCCAGTGTTGGGTCCCAGCGCGGGTGCCCAGGCAGCCAGGGTTTCAGCCCTTTCGCCAGCCCCTGAGGGGCATGCCACCGCGATTCCAGGTCAGGGACAGGAGCGAGGCTCAGAGGGACCGGGAGCCCAGCAGCCTGCGCTCACGTCCCAGCTGCACTGACTCCGGGCCCCTCTCTCCAGGAAGGGCCTCGGCAGCCTGTCCGCCGCGGGGGAACTGGGGCTCCCCACGAGGCAGGCTGTGCTGCGCTGTCCTGTACCCGGGGACAGGGTCCCGGCCAGGCTGGCGGCACCCGCGGGGGTCCCAGGTCTGCCGGGGCACAGAGGCCCCAGGCCCGCTCTGCTCGAGGAGGCGGGGAAACACATTGGTGGGGGAGCCGCACAGGGCAGCCCGCCCCTCCCCCAGGGTCACCAGGGGAGCCGTGGGGCCAGGTGGTCGCAGCTGGCCCTGGAGGCCTGGACCAAAAGGCTTGAGAGTCATCAGTATCGTTTCAATGAAGCTCAGCCGACCGCATTCCGCTCAGCCCTCCAAGGACCCCCAGCAATGCGAGGCCAGGTCCCAGCCACATGCCCCCTCACCACCTCCTGGCAGAAGCTCTGCAGCCAGATGCGTGGGTCCAGCCCCCTGGGGTGGCACCTGCCCATTGGCTGCAGGTCACACCACCCTATGACACACGGGGCCCCTCACTCTCAGCCTCTGCGGCTTCTCCCGGGGAGGGGCGGTGTGTGCCCGGTGCGGCCGGGCCAGGTGTCTGTCCAGCGGGTCGTCCTGGAAGCAGCCCCGTGGCCCAGCCTCCACTCAGGCCGGGGTAGGCCCAGCACAGCGCGGGGCCACTCTCCTGCCCGGGGGCCTGGTCCCCTTCCAGCAGTGGGGCAGGCGCCTGCGTGGTCATGGCACCCTGGGCAGGTCTGAGAGACACCGGCCTAGACTCAAGGCGGGAGGCCCGGGCGGGCTCGGCCTGGCAGGCCACCAGCCCTCCCTGCCACAGTCTCTGAGGCCGTCCTTCACCTCTGCTGTCCTCGGGCCACCCCTCAGCCAGCGCCACCGCGCCCGAGGTCCTCGGCCAGAGGCCCGCCCTCAAACTGCCCACAAAACGCCCGCCCACCCTGCGCCGCGGCCTGGAGAGACAGAGCAGGGCCGCCCGCCACAGGCTGGGGCAGAGCACCCACCGAGGGCACCGTTCTCGCACCCGGGCGGCCCGCTTGCTGGCACGCGGCCGGCGCGACACAGGTCAGCACAGGGGCGGGCGGGTGCTCCGAGCTGCCTGGGGTCTCGGGGAGGCCACGCAGCAGCAGGGCAGCCCGTTCCTGGTGGGAGGGGTGCCAGGCAGGAGGCGGCGCGCGGCGCAGGCCCACTTTGCGCATGCACCTGCGAAGAGCACACCAGGACGCTGCGTCCTCACCCCTCTGCCAGAGTTCTGGGAGGAGAACCCACCTCCCCTGCACTCAGACAGTAACACCGGTCGCCGGGCCCCAGGAGCCAGTGGGAACGGCCCCTCCCGTGGGAAACCTCTGTTCCAGCAGACATGCGGTGTGTTCCCGCACAGGGCACCTGGCCCGCAGGTCTGGGTGTGACCCACGGAGGTCATTGGCGTCTGCCCAGCTGCTGCGCCCGGGCACCCAGCGCGACCCGCTGCTCTGGGACCTGCGGGTCCCCAGTGGGGGCGGACACATGCTCTTGCCCTGATGGTCACACGTCAACTCGGGGCACCAGGCACTGAGCGGTAACTGGCCTCGGGGAAGGCCAGCCGGCGCTGCGGGCGCTGAGGCCTGAGGCCAGCCCGACACTGTCGGAATCACCAGGCTGCTGGACTCGGCCCGACACGCAGGCTGTCCGCCTGAACAGCGCAGCTCGTAGGCTGCGGGTAGAGATGTGGGCCGGGGACCCTGGGGAGCCCGCAAAGGGGGCAGATGGGCCGGCACCGGAGCAGTGCAGCTGGGCCCGGCCCCAGCCTCGGGGGGCTGAGGGCCAGGCGGCCAGGGTCAGCTCAGGTTCTCCATGAGAACAGGGCACGGGCAGTGGGGGAGCGGCTCACGCCAGGAAGAGGCCCCGCGGAGCGGAGCTGCGTCCACCGAGGCCCAGGCCCTGGCTCTGCGGTGGCTCCGGTTACAGCGGAGCGTGGCCGCAGGAGGTTGACGCCCACGTGGCCTCCAGCTGCCAGACCCCGGCCGGGCCTGCCTCCCTCCCACGTGGGTGGGGACGGGGGTGGGGAAGCGCGGTCTCCAAACCAGGGTACGTGCAGGCCTCAGGGAGGGTGCCCGTCGCCTCACGGACGCCCCCGCCACGAGTCAGGGCGTTCCCAGCCCCCTGCCCCGTGTCCGGGAGCCCCGGACGCGGGCCGGGGGGGCCTCTGCGCCAGCGCCCTCTCCAGGAAGGCGGATGGGCAGGGCCTCGGGGCCCCGCACAGACCCCGGGCAGGGCCAGGGGCAGGCCCGGGTGCAGCCCTGCCCGAGAGAGAAAGTGGCGGCAGGGGACATCCCAGGGCACCGCTCGGCCGCCACACTGCGGCCCCCAGGTGTCACTGGGTCCCACTGGGCACTCTCTTCGAAGCCACCTCGGTGCAGGACGACAGTCGCCAGGAGGCCTTATGTTGGGTCACATGACTTGTGCATAAATGGCTTCTGGCACATCTCCTGAAGAGATAATGTCAGCAGGGTGACGAGGAAGAGTGGCGGCCACCTCCACGGCCGCGGGGAAAAGCCTGGCCTCCGGACGGAGAGCCACACCGGCGCCCACTGTGAGCTGGCGGGCGGGCGGGCAGAGGCCCAGCAGCAGCAGCAGCAGCAGCAGCAGCAGCAGCGCCCAGACATTAGCGCCTGGTTAATGCCTCATCACTGATCTGCCGACAGCTCGCCACCATGTGACGCGGTATCCAGGAGACTCTCCCGCAGCAGGCGCCCGCAGCACAGGTGCGGCTCTGCGCGGACCTGCCCGGGGCCTGCGGGGGACCCTCCCCGGAGCCCTGCACAACTCGAACCGTCCCTCCCGCTCTGCCGGGCTCCTCCCCCCGCACGTTTCAAATGCCACCGCCAGACACGACTGCGGGCCACCAATGGCAACCTCGCCCGGTGGCTGCGAGCAGCCCGGGGCGCCGTGACAACGGACAGGGCAGCGCCGGCTGAGTAACTGACAGGGCAAGTCCTGCGCATCGGAACCCGGCCCCCGCCCCCAACGGATGACAATTCAGAAAACAGCCGAATTCAACAGCGCGCCTTAACAAAGAAAAGTGCGCTAATTACGGCAGATGCGCGGAGTGAGTTCCGGGCCGAGACTCGGCTCCGTGGCCCGCGCCCAGGCCCCACCCGCCCCCGGCCCAAAAGTAGCAACGACTTTGAGAGCCACTTTCGCCCCTGAGTGGCGGTCGCGCTCGTGCGCCCCGAAACCTGGGCTGGGGAAACCGAAAGCGGGCGCCGGCGCTGCTCGGGACCCAGGTCTAGTCCTGGGCACGGCGGGGGGTGGGGGGGAGGGTCCCACGGGGATCAGGGGGTGTCCGGGGCCCGAGCCTCCCGCCGCGCTCACTTTTTCGTGCAGTCCAGCAGGATCCCGGCGAAGCTTCGCTGGCCGCAGCTCACGGTGACCAGCAGCGCGCCATTGACGACCTGCTCCACCCGCACGGGCAGCCGGCAGCCGGCGCGCGGCTCCATGCTCCCGCGTCCCGGCCGCCCCGCCCGCCCGCCGCCGCTGCCGCCGCCGCCGGGTCAGCCCGCGCGTGACGCCGCCGGCCGCCTGACGTCACAAAGCCCCGCTCGGCCAGCCACCGAGCGCGGGCCGGGGGCGCGGGGGGCGCGCGGGACACCCGCCGCTTCGCTGTCCCGGAACCTGGCACCACAGGCGCGCGCGGGGGCCGCGCCGCCTCCAGAGCGGGGCGTGCAGACGCACTGCGCAGCTCCTGCGACCGAGCAGGGTTTGCGCCCGGCCTCTGGGTGCGCGGGCCGTGCGCGTCTGCGGAAAGGGACCAAGTGCGAGAGCATAGGGGCAGTGGGGGACCTTGCCTGGCCCAGCTCCAGGGCCCCTCCCACACCCCTGCCCGGGGCCTTCCGGGGCCCCTCCCACCGGCCCCAGGTCTCCTCCTCCGCTCTCCGCCCCCCATGCCCGTACCCCGGGCCACCGCCTCCGGGTCTGGCGCCCAGTGGCCACCCGGCACTGCGGGGAGGAAGTCCCGGCGGAGCGAGCAGGAAGCCGGCCGGGCTGGGCCAAGGCGGCGCGGGCGCCGAAGGGACACGAGTGTGCGCGCCGCGAGGCCCAGTCTTTCCCTCGCAGTGTAGGGGGCACTTGGCGGATCCCGTGGACTAGGCCCCCCTGAGTGAGGGAAGGGAGCGCGCAGGACCCTGGGTGCCCTGTGCGCCCAGGGAGGCCGCCCCAGGATTAGGGAGTGTGATCCCGCCTCTAAGTCCCAGTCGCGACCCTGCCGTCCTGGGTTGCTGGGGAAACAGCGGGCTCCATGGGACCCCGCCGAGGCCGGAGGAGCCGGAGCGCCATGCGGCCCGCTCACCGTGTGCGGGGACTCGGGGTAGGGAGAGCGGGACCCTGGCGAACACAGCTGGCCCGCGGCGGGGAGTGGGACATGGAAGCGCCGAGTGGACGCCGAACCCCCCCAGGACCTGCTCGTGCGCACCTTCCGCGCAAAGTTCCCGACTTTCGCGAGCACTTGCGCGCAGGGCCCAGCCTGTTGCAGTGACCTTGCCCGGATCCCGGCCCGGCCCCGCCCGGCCCCCTGAGCCGGGCTTGCTGCGCCTGACTGGGCACCGGAGGCTGGCCTGCGGCCGGTTGTCCTGGCGACCCGGACGCCGCCCGCTGCCAGGCCCCGCCCTGCCCCGCCCGGCCACGCCCTGCGTCATGGCCGCCACCCCTGGCGCCGCCTGGGACCGTGGGGCCGCCGCCGCGGCGGCGCTCGTGTTCGCCCTCAGGCGGCCGCGGGGCGCAGGGCCGTCCGAGAGGAGCCGGGGCGGAGCCGAGGGAGGCCACGGGGACCTCGAGGCGCCGCACCGCCCCAAGCTGTTCGGGACTGGGGAGCGAGGCCTGGGGAGCATCTGCCCAGCCCCAGCCGAGGCGCTGGCGGGGGAGGCGCTGGCGGGGGAGTGGGAGGAGAGCCAGCTGCGCCCTCCGCAGGCCCGGGCTCCAGCAGGCGCCGGAGGGACACAGGCCCGCCTCCTCCAGTCTTTCAGGAGACTTTCTCGGAGTCCCCATCCCATGTCCCCCGTCCTGGCCCCCGAAGCTACTGGAGAGCCCTCCGAGCCCAGTCGTCTCGCTGCTACATCGTCATGCCTTTGTCATGTCCCATTCTGTCTCTCCCGTGGCCCCGTCTGGAAGGGAAGATGCTACGGTCGCCTGGCCGGGTGGCTGGCGCCCCCGGCCCCACCGCCCCCTCCCTCGCATCCCTGGGCCCGTTCCCACTTCCTCTTACTGGAGCTCACCTGGGCTGGCCTCGCCCAGGCCCGGCTCCTTGCACACGGCCGCGTGCTTCTGGGATGGAACCAAAGCTGTCTGGTCCAAAGGCATGAGCCACCGTTCAGAGACCACGGTGCAGAGCCAGTGCCCACCGGCCACAGGTGTGAGGACCGGGCTGGGCCCTCCTGTTCGGACACAGGCCACCTCACAGCAAGTGCCACGCCGGGCAGTTGCTGGAAGGGGGAGGACAGATGAGGCCCCTGAGAACCAGAGCCTGGGGAGCACCTGCTGCCACGTGTGGGCAGCCATCCTAGGCTCAGGGCCAGCGGCGGGGGCGGGGGGGGGTGCATGGGCCCACCCCCGTCACCCCCATCACCCGCACTGCCACCGCCACCGTCACCGCTGGGCCGGCAGCGGGACCCACAGGCCGGGGCCTCTGCCACAACCTGTGCGGCATCTGCCCTGCTGGCCTTTCGTGGGGCTGGTGGAGACACTCAGGGGCCCTGGGAGGGGGCTGGTGCCTAGTGAGCCACCGCCACCCCCCGCAATTGCTGCCCTCCTGCATCCCCTGAGGGGGGTGGTGCCCCGCAGTGGCCCTGCATCCCTGGCGGGCCCAGATCTGGGAGCCTGGAGTCTGCAGGCATCTGAGCAAGAATACTTTCAGGGTGGGGCATCTTTTCCCCAAGTAACTGCTTTAGTTTCAAAACCGTTCCCCTGCAGCCCCTGCTCGGTGCCAGTTGTTTCTACGGAGGAGCCTGCTCCCCGCGCCAAGGCGCACACATGCAGAGCCCCGGCTGAGGGGTCACTGAGAGGGCCCAGGGGCAGTGTGTCGGCAACGCCCCCATGCAGAGGCTCCCGGGCCCCCGCCAGGTCCTCAACGGGCCCGCTTTGCCGTCTGCTGCTGTTTGTTCCAACGTGCACAGAGGAGAAACCCGCCCCTGTGGGTTCAGACTGCTTGGTCAGAAACGGAGCTCTCTCGCCAACGACAGGGAGCGGGCAGCCTGGGCAGGTGGGCCAGGTGCCCACCCTGGGCCGCCCGGCCACGGCCGCGAGGGGCACCCAGGCAGCCCGCCCGCCTGTGGGGGAGTGCGGGCACCGGCCCAGGCAACCCTGCTGTGCTCCTCGCCTGCAGCCTAAGCCTGAGGAGGGCCTGGAAGTTTCCACCCTGCACGGTCGAGTCTCAGCTCCCGGCAGAAGGACCCCACGGAGGGGCACGCAGGGAGCCCTGGGGGCCACCATGCGGCTTGTCGCACAGCATCAGGCAACCGCGGGCGTAAGGACATGGGACTGGCCCGGCCTGTGCACAGCACAGGGGAGGCTGGGGACAGAGGGGGTTGGGGAAGGTGGCGCAGAGGGACACCGACAGCAGCTGCCCGATCAGGAGGTGACAGGGGCCGCCGCCGCCAACAGAATGAAAGGCGCACAAAACCGGAGGCTAACGAGGGGGAAGTGGGGTCCCTGCCACACAAACAAGCCAGCGAGATGAGCGAACGTGGGGGGGGGGGAGGAAGTTCGAGCCGGTTGCCACCGCCGCAGGCTGACTCTGATGCTTTATTGATTTGAGAGAGAGAGAGACCGCGACCTGCTGCACCACGTACTGACGACTCCTTGGCTGGTTCTTGTTCGTGCCGCCCGGGGCGCAAACCCGCCACCGTGGTGGGTGGGGACAACTCGCTCACCCCCTGAGCTGCCCCGCCGGGGCCTGCACTCAATTCTTCCCGCTTTTCCTTTTGAACCATCTAACACGGCTGACTTTTCCCCACGCTCTGTTTCTAGGCTTCTTGGAGCAAAGAGCTTTTTCAAAAGGGCGGCGTGACGGGAGCCGGGCCCCTGGGGGAGGGGCGGGCAGCCCCCGCAGCACGGATGGCGACAGCATGGATGGCGAGGGCCCAGGGGGCTGGGCAGAGGAGGCGCCTCTCCCGGGGCCGTGCGCTCGGGGCGGCCGCCGAGCCCCACATAGCCAGCCGGCCTGAGAGAACACGGGAGGGGCGGCCGAGCCCGACGGGGGTCCGCCACCAGGAAGGGGGACGGGCAGAGGACGACACCGCTGGGGGGGGGGGCAGAGCTCACCCAGGGCCCCTCGTGGACTCATCTCGCAGCAGGAGTCTGCAAGGGGGTCTCCCCGCTGCGCGGAAGTAACAGCCAGGGACACCCTGGCCACGCTGGTGACGGTTGCTGGTTTGCGGAGTTCTCTTCCTCCTTTCAAGGTGGCTGGAAGCTTTCACGGCCCCCGAAAAAGTAACACAGGCAGAAAAAGCAAAGACAAGAACAAGACGGCAGGCTGCCTGCGCTGAGCACAGGGGGAAGAGCCCGCCCTGGGGCGCCCCGCACCCCCAAGGGAGGCCCCCGCACCGGGCTGGCTTCCAGGCCAGAGACATCTCTGTCCGTGCACGTGACGCTTTCTCATTAGTATTTATAAACGGTTTCGGGTGCTTAACACTTTGTGTTAGAAAATACACTCTGAGGCTGTGGTGCCGGTGGGCCTGGCGGAAGGTCCCCGAGCGCCGAGCTGCTGCTCAGGGTCGTCCTGACTTCTGCTCCGTGACTTCGTCCTGTAGCTTCCTGGCCTTTGGGGAGGGAGGGGGGACGACATTAGCCAGGCAGGCAGGATGGGGCCAGCCTGCGTCTGCGCACTGTCCTGTGCGGGGGCAGCCTGCTGTCCCTGGGGCCCCATTCCCTGCCCCCAGAGGTGCCTGCTGGTTGCTGGCCCCGCCCTTGTGGGAACAGTCCCACCCCCAAGGCCCCCCGGAGGCGTCCCTGCACACAGCCAGCCAGAGAGGGACCAGGAGAACCGAGCCTCCCAGTACCACAGTGCGGCCCCCTCTCGCCCACCACCAGTGGCCGTCCCACCTGAGACGCTCAGCTGCCCCAGGGGTGGTGGCAGCCCCATCCCCAACCCAAATGGGACTCAGCGTCCCTACAGAGGGGGGGAACCCTGGGGCTGGAATCTGGGGCAGACTCTGCTCCAGGGGCCTCAGCCCATCTGCTGCGCCAGCAGGAGGCAACGTGGAGCACGAGGCAGGCGGCCCGCAGGTGGCCAGCAGGAAGGAGCAGCCTCCCTCCGGCCTCCGCCCTGGGAAGCTGGCCAGTGGCGGTGTCCGCGGTGCCAGCCTCCACCCTCACTCCCCCCAGTCCTGTCTCCCTGGGGCACCGCCGGGACCCCCACCTGCAGCCCAGGCCCATTCCCGGAGCAGACGCACCACAGGACAGACACGCGGCCTGACCTCGTCCTGACCAGCAAATGCCAGCTTCTGCCAATCCCCGGTTACGTTTTCCCCTAAAATGTCTGCATTCTTTGTGGAGTTAAACACATACATTTTGCTTTCTACGTACCTGTCGCTGAGCCCCGCCAACGGTGGCCCTCAGTGTCCTCTCCCCCGTCAAGTCCTGATGGGCCTGTCTCCCCCGCAGACCCCCGGCCCCACGGCTCTCCACGCCGCACACGGTGGGTCCCCCTTCCCGGACACACACACTCCCCCTCTCTGTCTGCCCCTTGATTGGCAGCACACATTCTGTGGAAGCTTCCAGAGACAGGCTGTACCGGAAGTAACTTCTTTTGTCCTTTCTTCCACGCTGGCCCCAGCGTGGCCGGTCAGAGCACAGAACTCCCTCGGACGATGGCCACGACCCCGCCCGCTGAGAAGCCGCGTGGCCCGGCCTTCCCTCCTGGGGGCCTCAGGACCCGCTGCCCCTCGGACGCCGGGCCTTCAGCCTGGAGATGCAGCCCTCCCTCCCCGGGCTTGTTGCAGCTTCTCCCGCACCCACCGGCCTCTCTGGGACGCGGGGCCGTCAGCAGCGGCTCCTGGGGACAGGCTCTTCCCCCTCCCACCCGTTTCTGCCTCTCCTCTTCCTTCTGTCCTGCTTCCTGGGGGATGCACGTGAATGCCTGTGACTCCACGCCGAGAAGTCTCGGTTACCCGAGTGTCCTGCTTTCACTTTTCACGGTGGCCATGTTTCCTGATGTCGTCCAGAGAGTTTTAACTGTAGTTCTGATTCTGTTCCCCACAACGTCTCTTCTCCCAAACGCACTTCCCGTTGGTCTGCCGGCCTCTCCCTCACTCTGACTGAGCTGTCCCTCCAGGTGGGGACCCTGGACCCTCTCACGCCCCAGAGTGAGGCACCGAGCCCACCCACCACGGAAACACAGGCAGAGTTGGTGGAGGGGGCTTTTGGCTGGGAGGCATCCCTGCTGGTTGGGTCAGGACGAGGGACACCCTGGGGTCAGGATGCCAGGGTCCTTCGCATCGTCAGTCGATGTCCTCAGAGCGGACCCGGCAGGGCCTCGACTACGGGGAGCGCCTGGCTGCAGCAGCCACGAGGTGGCCCGTTCCCCCCCCCCCCCCACATGTGCAGAAGCGGTCACGTGCCTCCCTGGGCAGCGTGGGGCCTCCCAGAGGAACCTCTCCGGATGTCACGCCCTGCGCCTCCTGCTGGGTGGCGAGTGTCAACGAGCGGAGCCGGGAGGCTGGGGCCTGGGGACCTAACCTGGCCTTGTATAGGCTTCCAACTCTCCGTCTGTTTTCAGTTTTCTATCCTGTGCTTTTGGGCCCCGTAGCAGGAGTCATCTTGCTTCTCACTGCAGTTCCTCTCGGCTGGCCCTCACACTCCCCACTAGGTGGCTTGCTGCTGCCAAAGCGACACCCATGGCCTGTTAGGATACAGGCTCAGCGGCTGCAACGAAGGGCCCATCGGCAGCCGGGACAGAAGGTGGGGCACATCTGAGAGGGCAGTTCTTAGGGTTGCAGGCTGGTGCTCTGCTCCTTAACCTGAGGCCTTTGCCTCGGGGTCTGGCATGGCTGCCCCAGCGCCTGCCATCACATGTGCATTCCAGACATGCTTTGGAAGTTCATACACCTCTCTGTTCACATCCCACTGACCAGAAGGCGGTCACATGAGGTTGGGAGCCGTGGCCTTTGGGGGTGGCCTGGGCTCTTACGGACGGCACCAGGGGCATCACCCCGTCACGGCGGAGTTGACAAAGCCCTTCCCCAGGGCTGAGCACCAGAGCTCTCCTCTTCCGGGCCACCGGTCCTGTGTGGGTGGTGTGAAAAGACAGTCATTTGACCGAGTTCCTTGGTGGGCACATTTCAGAAAAAGACCACCGTAACTCAGATCGTCCCCCAAAACACGGCCCTCAGACGACGTGACACCCGCCCGCACCATGGTGCCCACGCGCCATGTCAGGTCTCCTTCCCTGCTGGGCGGGACTAGAAGGCCTGTGTCTGCCGCGGCCGCTGGAGGCCCAGGTGCACACTCTCCTTTCGTCCAACGCGGCGCGGCCGCGGGCAGGCGGGGGGCCAGGGAGGGGCGCTCTGGGGACGGCCGCCATGTGGGGAGGAACGAAACTGGCCGATGGGGGGGCCACCAGCCCTTCCCCACTGCACTCCTGAGGGCTTGACCCCCTCTTCCCCTGGCCTCCCAACTCCCGGAGGAGGCGAAGGGACTGAGGGAGCAGCGCAGAACGAGACACAGAGGCGGCACTCAGCCCCCTGCCCGCATGGCCTCGGGCTTGGGCGGCGCAGGGCGCGGGGGGCGAGGGCGCGCCGGGGGCGAGGACGCGCCAGGGACGCCGCACTTCCGTCTCCTCGTGGGCGCAGTGTGCAGGCCCCCTTGTATCCTGGGCCTTCACTGGGAGCCAGACAGTGCGTACTTCCTGAGAAACTTGACAGGATGTTTTTAATCACAGAGAAGCACAGACAGGCATGAAAGCATCAAGCACACGCGGTGGCCCGTGTTCCTGAGGAAGCAGCGCAGAGCTGAACACCAGCCCCGGGCTCCAGCACACGTGGGTCACTGTGGTGGCGGCCACATGCCCCTCGCCTCCCCGGGTGCAGGTTGCTGACCTGGGAAGCAGGGGCACCACCTTCTTCACACGGCAGTTTCGACGGTCCGGGGCTGGCGCCGCCAGCCTGAGCACCGTGGCTTCCTGCTGGCCTCTCTCTGGGTCCCGGGCTCTCCCTCTCCAGGGTCACAGGGCACAGGACCACAGGGCAGAACACCAGGGCCAGCGCTCAGGCTTCAGTTTCCAAAGAGGCCCTTGTCAAAGCAGCCTCACTCTGCCTGGTTTGCTGACACCGGTGGCCCCGCTGTGCCGCCCGCGCGCACCTTCATCCACGGCCCCCGGGGGCTGTGCTCACGGGCACCAGCCGGGGCTCACCGCCCACCAGCCCCCTCCCTGCCCTGCCCCCCCGCCGGGATGGCTGTGAGAGGCCTGAGAGTGTTCGGGGGCGGGCGGCGGTCCGGCTCAGCCCCTGTGCTGCCCCGCTTGCTGCTCTGGGTCTCCAGTCTCCCAATAAACCCCAGAATCAAATCATCCATTAGCCACAGAAGGACCGGCGGGGACTCCGAGGGCTTGCGGCGACTCTCCGGATCAAGTCGGGAAGAACTGGCATCTTAATACCCAGTCTTCCCGCCGTGAACACAGAACAGCCCTGTGTTTATCTCATTCCTCTCTGGCTACTTCCATCAGTTTTGTAGTTTTCCTCATGCAGATCTTGTACACGTGTTAAAGGCACATCTAGCACCAGTGTTGGGTGCTAACGTAAATAAGGCCGTGTTTCTCGTGTCAAATCCCACTTACTCGCCGCTGGCGCGCCGTCAATGACTGGCTTTTGAACGTGACCTCGCATCCTGAGCCACTGCTGCGGCTGCTCACTAGCCGCACGGCTGCTTGTCGCCTCGTCGGGGTTTTCTGCGTAGACATTCGTGTCAGCTGAGAACAAAGTTTCATCTCTTCCTCCTTAAGCAGGATGCCTCTTCCCTCCTGTGTGGCCGTGACCGTCAGGGATCCCCGTCCAGTGCTGGAGGGGCCAGGGGGAGGCTCGCCCGGGTTCCTGACCTCAGGGGCACCTGGCGCCTCGCCGGCGGGCGTGGCGTCAATGGGCTGCAGTGTCGGCAGATGCTCCCCGTCAGGCGGAGGAAGTTCCCCTCTGCCTTGTTCGCAGAGAGCTTTACCCAAACGGATGGTGGCTTTTGTCATTTGCCTTCCCTGCCTTGAGGACAGGGTCACAGGATTCTTCTTTAGCCTGCGGCTGCCACTCACTACATGACTGGATTTTGGAGTGCCCGGCAGCCTCGCACGCCTGCGGTGGGTCCCAGCTGCTCACTGGGAATGGCACTTCCTGCACACCGTGGGGCGTGGGTGGCCAAGTTTTGGTGAGGATTTTGCATCTATGTTGAGATTGGTCTACAGGTCCCTCTCGGGGGACGTCTTCATCTGGCTTTGGTGCTGGGGTTATGCTGGCCTCACAGAGGGACTTACCAAATGTCCCCTCTGCTCCATCCTCTGGGAGAGAAGGTAGGAAGTGAGTGCATGATGCCTTCCTTAAATATTTGGTAGAACGCAAACCATCCGTGAACCTATTGAAATGTTATTAATTCATTTTCTTCAATAGATACCAGTCGACTCAAATTTGTTACTGTGAGTTTTGGAGTTTTGGCTGATGGTGTTTTGCAGGGATCTGGTCCATTTCGAGTAGGAGATGAAATCTGAGCGCACAGGGCAGCTCATCGCCAATTCTGGAGCTGAAGCTGGAGGCAGTGGGGGGGTCCTGTCTGGAAGCCCTAGAAGGTGGGGCTTGGGGTGCGAGGCGGTGGCCACACAGTGAACCACAGGCTCGGAGGTCAGTGGGCTCGCCCGAAGGCTGGAGCGTCCCCTGGGCCGGGCAGGGAGGCTCTGAGCAGGGGGCAGGGTCGGAGGGGCAGCGTCCCTGTGAGGTGGCCCAGGCTCTGCTTGGGCCTCAGGAGAGCGGGGACACACGATGGAGCCCCCAGACGGGCGGCAGGGACAGTGCCGCTGGCTCTGGGGACAGGCTCGGTGCAGCCTGGCACCAGCGGGCCTGCGGAGCAGCCCCAGGGGCCGGGCTGGGCTGAGGGACGCACAGGCAGGCTTGGCCACGGCCGCAAGAACCGAGGCGCAGAGGCCTCCGGGGTCAGCTCCGGTGATGCCCGGCAGGTCTGGTCACTCAGCAGGGTGTGGGGGGGGGCAGTGGCTCCTTTCACGGCCGGGCGGGCTGCCCACATGTCCTTCGGGACAGGAGGCCTCCTCTCCGATCGCTGCATCACTGTCCCAATGAAAGACGTCGCAGGACACGCAGAAGGCACTTCCCCATCAGGCGCTGCGCGGCTCGGCCCGCAGGGGTGGGGCACGCCGGACTCACGCCGCACCGGTTCCGCGGATACGGCAGAAGGCGCTGCGGGGCCGCCCAGGTGGCCCGGACCCTCCGAGGGCTCACACGGGGCGAATACGCGCCCTGGCCCTCTGAACAGGCGCCGTCTGGGCCCGCCCCGCACGGCAGGCCCCGCAGCGCCTGGCCGCCCACGGCCTCAGAGCACGAGCTCCCAGGGGACACGCCGAGGCCCCTCCCGCTGTTACCCGCACGATTCACTTTCAGGCAGAGCTGACAAGGGCTCACGGGACCCAGGCCCTCTGCAGCCCCCAAATCCCCGCGAGCGGCGCAGTGCCCTGAACACGCGCCCCCGCCGGATGTGCTGCTTCAGCTGCTCCTCCGGCGCCCCCTCGCGGCCGGCTCTGCGGAAACCCAGGGCCGCGCTCGGGCTGGTCTCGGGATTTCCGCTCCCAGGGGGGAGGCACAGCCTTCCCGCCCCCGCCGTGCCCCGTGCCCCCCCGCCGACCCCCGCGCTCCTCCGGACGCAGTGACAGTGATGACGAGGCCACCTGCGGCCGCCCACCGCGCAGGGCCGGCTCCCAGGCAGGCCCGGGCGCCCCCAACCCTTCCCCCGAGCTCCAAGCTGCTGGCACCCACCCTGGGCTGCGAAGACTTCAAGGTCACGGAGGTGCAGCACGCTGAGCAAACTGCTCCTCACGCCACACGATGACGAGCGTGTCTGTGTTCGTCAGGTGCACCGTTTTAATAAACGCCCAACAGAGGAACAGGACGTCGAATTAAGCAAGGGTTCTAAACGCATCTGCTCCGTTGGCGTCGGGGCTTCGGGGCCGCCGCCGCCGGGGCACACGCAGCAGCACTCGGAGCGGCAGAGCGAGGCCCGCGGCGCCTGCGGGACGCGCGGAAGGCGGCGGGGAGGGCGCGCCAGCGAAGGGAAAGCAGGGGCGGGGGGAGTGGGGACCGGCCCGGCCCCTTCGCAGCTGCTGCTCCCAGCGAGGAGGTCCCTGGGGGACGTGCGGACACAGGGGTGACAAGTCAGGGGCTACAGCAGCCCCCAGGGGCCCCGCCCTCCGTCCCATCGGAGCCCCCGCAGGCCTGGACCGCCCACCTGTCAGGTACTGGCCGGGAGCCACGGCCTCTGGGCCTCAGGGGCAGCGGGAGGGCTGAGCACGGGGCAGCCACAGCCCCCACCCCAGGGACCAACCTCAGCTTGTCACTTGCTCGCAGGGACCTCTCTCTGCTTTGTCCCCTCCCTCCGTGTGGGTTCACTGGTGCTCTTGCCTTGTCCGGCAGATCTGCAGCAAAGGGAGCCTTGGACGCCACCTAGGGAAACCCACCAGGTGCTCTCAGGGTCCATGGGGACGCTGCCGTGAGCACAGACCCCGTCCCCAGGGAGACCACGGAACGGCTGTCGGAGAATGCACCCCCCAACCCCCGCCATCACCCCAGCCTCAACCCAGGCGCCCCGCCGCCAGGTGCAGGAAGTGGCCCAGGCTGGGCCTGGCTGGGAGGCTCCCACGGCACCTGGCCACACGGCGGGAAGGTCTGGCCACACGAGGTGGAACACACACGACCTGCCAGGACCAGGTCTTTCATGCCGACACGGCTCTTTTTCAATCCCTGAGCTTCACGCTGAAACATAGCTGACAGCGGTCAGAAAGCCCATGTTGCCAACATCCAGGTGGGGCCCCCCGGATGGCACACTAGGCAACCTTCCCAACCGCCCTGTGGACATGGCCCTGCACCACTCAGGGACCTCACGGGCCGACGGCGGAGACCGAAGGCCTGCCCTCCGTTCTGCCTCTGACCGCTGGCCCGCCCTGACCTCGTCGCCTGGCTGGGTGCCCCGCGAGACCCAGGCGAGGGTCATTCGGGACGTGCGCTGGGCACAGGGGTGCCGGTGCCGCTCTCGCCCCTGGCTCGGCGGCAGCAGCTGCCTCCCCTCAGATTCTGCCTCCCAGGCCCCAGCGGGGCCTGCATCCGCTGCGCGCAGCCCGGACAGGGCGCCTCTGGCCGAGCCCCACTGCAGGCAACTCTGAGTGCCAGGCCGCCGCCCTGCCTCGGGGAACTTCAGGGCTGTCCGCAGAGGCGGGGCGGGGGGGGGAGGGGCGGGATGGGACACGGTGGGGGGCCTGCTCCCGGCTGGGTCTGGGACTGGCTCACCTGCCGTGTCCTCTCTAAGTAAATTCCCTGGTAGAACCCTGGGTGTCCAACGAAGGTGCTTAACACCCAGGAAAGGGAAGAGGGGCAGAGGGAGGGGAAAGAGAGGGAGGGAACCAGCTCCAGCACCGCCCCCCTGAGCTGCAGCTGCCCCGTCCCTGCCTGGGCTCAGACACCCAGACGGTTTGGGAGAGAACAGGGGAGACAGATGCTGAGCACCACACAGGATGCGGCAGCAGCCCGAGCCCCGGGGACAGGGAGCGCAGGCCCGTGCACGGCCGCTTCTCGGCTTCCGAGGTGCCGGCCTCCCAGGAGCTGGGGGGGGGGCGGGGCAGGAGACCCACCCCGGCGCCCGAGGGCACCCTCGACTCCCGCCGGTGCCCACCGCGTCACAGGATGGAGCTGGGCGCACGCAGGCCCGGCGCCCAGCCTTCTGAGCTGCCGTCAGGGCCCCAGGGCAAGGTCCTGCCCCCCCCCCGCCGTCCCCCACACACCAGGGGCCGCCTGGGAGGCGGGAGCGCGCTGAGCCCCTCCGTCTTCCCCCCCATCGCCCGGGCCTGCTCTCGCCACTCCTGCAGGGTGCGCTGGTCTCTGAAGGAAAGACGGTGTCGCATTAGTCGAGAAGAGCTGCAAAGCTTACGAGGATTCCTACCGTCAGTTTCCAAGCCACACAAGGAAGCCCTTTATTCTGGTCCATCTGCCCAGAGGGCGGACACCGGCCCGACACGTACGGCACTGGGGGCGGCTCCTGATGCCGCCCGGGCAGAGCTGGGCACGCCCGTCCCATCAGGCTGTGGGAAGCTGGCCCTCCTGAGCCCCTACCGGGGAGGCAGGAGGCCAGGCCCTGGGAGGGTTTATTCCCAGCGGGGTGACTCACAGAGGAGGGGCGGGGCGGGCGGCCCCCGGAGTGAGCAGCCCGGGGGCTCCTGGGAGGGACCTGCCAGGCCCCGGGGGCACGCGCGGGAAAGGACAGGGGAAGGAAGGTGCTGCCCCCCTGCCCCGGCCCCCCTGACCTCCAGCTGCTGGGGCCCCCCCCAGCCAAACCCAACCAGGAGGGGAGGGGTCCCCGGGGCTGTGGACGAGGCCCGTGCCGGCACCCCAGGGCCCGGATCACGGGGAAGGCGGGCTGCGGCTGAGGCGGGGGCCAGGGACTCGGCGAATGTGGGGTCCAGCACCGCAGGCCCAGCGAGGCCAGGGCACGCTATTTTTAAATACCGTTCTTTAGAACTACCTGCCAGCCAAGTAACTGAGAGGGGCACAGGGTGGATTAAGGAAGAGTGGGAAATCCGAGGTCGGTAAGGGACGAAGGCAGCAGCAGGAGGCGCGCGGGGGCAGGGGCAGGGGCAGGCCCACCTCCTGCGCTGCTCCATCAGCGCCTGCTTCTCCCGGAGCTCCCCCAGCGCCGCGGCCCGCCTCTCCGCCAGCCGCCCCGCCCCGCGCGCCACCGAGTGCGCCGGGGCCGGGTCCGGCAGGACGCCCTTGACGGGGGCCGCCTTCCTTCTGGAACGACACAAGGCTTTCAGCCGGACACCTAACAAAATCCCATGATGAACACACCCCTAGAAGACATGCCTTGAGAAACAAACGCGACCTGAGAGCAGGGCTCGCGGGCCAGTTGCATGCTGGGCCGGCCGCTGCCCCCCCCAACAAAGCTGCCAGGTGACCCCAGGCTGCGGGCCCTGACACGGTCCCCTGAGTGACCTGGACCAGTGCTCATCACTGCTCCTAACAAAAACGATGGATGGGGAAGGAGGTCTCTGAGCGCAGGCCTCGGCGGCCCTGCCCCCAGGTGGGCGGCGCAGGCCCGACCGGCCCGGCACCCGCAGGAGCCTAGGGTACGCTGCCGGCACCTGCCGGGCTGCAGCCAGTAACGCTGCAAAGCGTTTTATCTGAAAAACTCCGCGCCAACAGAGCAGGTGAGAGGACAGTGCAGCGAACACCGGGACCCCTTTCCTGCGGACCAAGGGCTGCGATGCACTCGATACCCCTCAGCCCCAGCCCGCGTGGACCTAGCACTCACACACGCATAGACAACACGCACAGGCCACACGTATGCATGCACTCATGCCGACACTCCACGCACGCACCACACTGCACACGCAGCACACCATGTGCAACAAACACACTATACACACATGCACGCATGCAGTCAGACGCACGGGTTTGGGGTTTCTGTCGGGCAACCACCTCCTTGGAGCTGTGAGGAGCTGACCTGACCCCGGAGCCAGGCTGGGCCACCGCGCAACCGGCGATGGTGACGGCCAAGCGGGCAGGCGCGCGCCTCCCCGGTGGCTTGGCAGACAGTTACAAAGCAGCTTTTCAACTTTGCCAAGACCAAGGCGGCAGGCCGTGGCTCTGGGGTCGCACCTGAGGGTGTGTCTGGGACTGGGGCGCGCTTCCTCCCGGGCGCACAGCATGGCCCGGAGCTTGGGAGGCAACTCCAACGCTAGGAGCTGGTTTTCCAGAACCTCTGCCTGCTCCTTCTCAACGATTTCCTGCCGCAGCTTCCAGAAGCGCCGGGTCTCCTCCTCAGGCAGCCAGTCTTCCCCGGGGCCGGGGGATCTCCTGCGCGCACGTCGGTCCAGGCTTCCGACAGGCGGGCCCGGGCCCCCAGTTTCTGTCGGCCTGGCCGCCTCTAGCCCCCGAGGCTTTGTGGTGTCTCTGTCGGGTGCACGTTCTCCGGGTAGGTCCCCACGGGGATGTGGCAGCCGGTGCGCGTTCATCACCTCAGGGGGTGGGATCGCTGGAAAGACAAGGCCCCGGCTCAGCCGCCTGCGCGGCAGCACCCAGGGCTTTGCATGCTGCGCAAAGCCCGCCGGCACAGACGCTGCCCCGCTGCTGCCCGCCTCTGCCGGGCGCCCTCGTTTCGGCCGCCTCCGGGCCCCGTGCCTGCTGCTTTCAACGGGCAGCGTTTCTGCTGACGTTCAGACGTTCTCGTCTCCAGCTCTAGGTGAGCTGTGGGAGAGCGCATGGCCCGCAGCGTGTCCGTCGCTGTCTCTGCCAGGGTCTGCGTTCGGCGCTGGGGCCACGGCGTCCCACGGCGGGTGGCCCCTGGTCGCCAGCGGTGCCCAGACACCCTGACAGGCTGCAGGCGCCCCCAAACCCGGCCACCTCAGCCTCCCTGGCGTGCAGCCTCGCCCCCTTTCTGTCCTCAGACACATTGTAAACAGCTCTGACCACTGCTGAGTTACTTCTTGTAAAAAGGGGATTCAGTTTCAGACTTTCAGGCCTAATCTACCTTCCTGTTTTCTGCTCGTCAATCACACATCTTGTGTGTTACGCAGGTACAGACTTCAAGGTCAAAAACAAAAACTGCAATGGAGATGACAGGTAGTAAGAATGCAGGGCGCCTGCCCGGGGTGCGGGCCAGGTCCCCAGTAGGGGGCGCACGAGAGGCACCCACAACATGGGTGCTTCCCTCTCTCCCTCCCTTCCCTTCTCTAAAAATAAATAAAATCTTTAAGAAAAATTTAAAAATATGGAAAAAACATTAAAAAAAAATCTCATGTTTATTACTCATTAAAAAATTCTAGAAAGTATTTTTCAATACTAATGATTTGCTATCTTTTTCCTAAAGAAAAAGCCGTTCTCCACACCCACGTCCAAGAGATGAGCTCAGAAGGTCGGGCAGGTAAAGGCCTGGCTGTCGAGCGCTGTCACCGCGGCGCCGGCCCTGCACGACCCCGTGGCCCGGGTCTCCCATGGGGCACGCGCCGTGGCCACACAGAATTCATGACACACGCGTGCCCAGGACAGTGCTCCCGACGCTCTGGGCTCGGGGTTGGTGCTTTGAGACAAAAACAGTTTATGAAACGGGCGATTGTGGTCCAATGGACCAGGCTACTCTTGAAACAGTCGCCTGATGGGGCTTTGGGGCTGAGGACTGTTTCGCTGCCTTCGGGCCAGGGAACTCGCACCCACCCCACCCACACCCACACCAGGCTCTGAGGCCGCAAACTGGGAGCTCGGAGCAAGGAAAGGCGGGCCTGCCTGCCTGTGACCCGGTGCCGGGGGCGTCCGGCGAGGACACAGGAGGACCCCCGGGCCCTGACTTTAACATGCACTGACTTCGGATTCAGTGCAGTTTGTCACGGTAATTGTCTACCAACCGCAAGAAGCCGGCGCTGCGGCGCAGGCGCGCAGGAAGCTCAGGACGGCGGCCGAGCCTTTCTGCACCACGCGCTGGGGCGGGAACTCCACGGGGCAGTGCCTCAGGTTCAGAGCCCTCAGCGTCCTCACGTTCCCTGCGGGGGCGGGGGGAGCACAGCAGCATCTACAGACCGTTCTGTGCGCTGAAAACGCTCAGCTGAACATCAGGGGGAAAGGGCTCTATTGAGAATTCTGAGTAAAATGATGCGCCAGATGCCTAAGATTTGCTAAAAAAAAAAAACCTAACAAAACTCCCCAAGGGGGGCAGATTCATAGATTTAGACCAGCCTGGCTACAAAAATAAATAAATAAGTAACATAAACAGACAGAAGCAGCAATAATAGCCCTCAGGTAAAAATCACAATACAAAGCTGCTAAAATACTCGACCTAATACCCGGGGACCGGGACACCCGCTGGCCTCCCCTCGGGCCGCACGGCAGGTCCCTGCAGGTTCCGCGGCCTCGCAGGGCCCCGCTTTACTGCCGCATTTCACTGCGCTGTCTCAACGCTTACCCAGCTCCACAGGTAACGTTTTGATAGGATTTCTTTCTAAAAGCAAAGTTTTCAAATACCTTTAAAACAAAACAAAAATGTATCATTTAAAAGGCAGGGTATTAAGTGGCTGCCCCTAAACTATACGTTTCTCCATGTGCCTTGGTGTTAAGGGGGTACGTCTGCGAAGCGAGCACATGCAGGGTCCACGGCCTTGGCACCTGGGCCAGGCCCTCGCCCGGCCCTGCGGACACCCAAGACCACGGCACTCACGATTGAAAAGCTCCTTTCAGAGCCAGTGAGCTACAGGGCTGCAGGTGAAGCGCCCGCTGCAGGCCCCCGTTCTGCCGGTTCCCAGTGGCCTCGCGACTCCCGCAGGCAGTCGCTCGCGTGCGAACTGGGGTCGCCTTGCACACCTCCCTTCCTCCCACACCCACGTCCGACCTGAACGCGCCAGCTCCCGCGTCTTGCCTTGCCCAGGGCACCGCCCCTCGCTTGGGCTGCTGCAGGGGCTTCCCTGCCGCCCCCTGCCCCTCTCTGCAGGGGGCCAAGGGCCACGTCAGATCCCACCGCAGCCCAAACCCGCTGAGTGAAATCCAAAGCAGCAGCCAGGCCGCGAGCTGGGCCCGCCCTCTGGGGCTGCGCCCCTACCCGCGCCCGCCCAGGAACGCTGCTCTGCTTCCCTTGCCTGGAGGCACTGACACAGAGGAAGGGCCTGAAATGTCTCTCCGAAGGCGCCGAAGGTGAGGCAGCACCGGCAGGGGGACTGGCCCCGGAGGGAAGGGCCCTGGTGGTGGGCGTGGCTCCCGAGGCCGAGAGGAGGCCAGGCCGCTGTCCCCGGCGCGGGGCGCGGGGGCAGGCGTGACGCATCTGGACAGGAGGTGCCAGAACCCCCGCAGCCAGGGCGCAGGGATGGGCCAGAGACACGCACCCACTTCTCCAAAACGGAAGAAGGCCTCATCACCCACCAGGGGGCAACACAGACACACAGGGCCCACAGGGGCCGTGGGGTCCCAACCCTCCAGGCAGCTTCACACAGCAAGTCAGAGAGGGAACCAGACACTGCGGAGCTGGCAGGCCGGTCCAGCGAGGGCACCGTGGCCTCCGCGCTACCCAGCGTCCCGCACACGCAGCCAGCCTCAAAGTGCCCAGTACGCAGTTCTGTTCCAACTCAAACTTCAGCCAGGGGGAGGGGCTGAGCAGCCGCCCGGCAGGCAGGCAGGCAGGCAGGCGGGCGGACACTCCGAAGGGCCGGGCGCTCAGCCGGGCGCACGCGGGCGACGCACCTGTGAGAGCCCACCCCGGGGGGCAGCGCCGCGATCCTGTTGTGCCGCAGGTCCAGCCAGGTGAGGCTCGGCAGCAGCTGGAAAAAGTCGGTGGGGAGGGTGCTCAGGGCATTTCTCTGAAGATGCAGTTGCTTCGGGGAAAGAAAAGACCATGTTTTAAACACGGTACATCCTGAGAGCATTTCCACAATAGCTACTAGCTTCTACAACCACCTGTGTCAAGTAGAAGACAAAACGGGACCATTTTACCTGACACAGTTTAAACAGCAGATGTGAGACTGGACCTGAACGCGAGACTCGCCGGGAGCGCCCGCCACTGCCGGGACTGAGGGCGTGTCCTGACCGGCCAGCGCTGTCCCCCTGCGTGTCGGCAGCTCGCACGCCGCTTCCAAAGTGCCCTCTGGCACCGAGCTCGCTCCTCTCCCCGCCGCGACCCGCAGCGACTGTGCCCAGCACGGAAGCAGCCACGTCCGGTCCCGGGGCGTGCCCCGCGGGAAGAGCCTCCGGACGTGCCGCGCCCCAGGCCGCCCGCTGTGTCCTTACCTGTGGTCAGCGGCCGCACAGGAACCATCCCACACTGCACAGCTAGGACGCTGCACACACCGACCCGGTGAAATCAAGCCGGGGTCATAAAGGAGGTAACGACGCAGGAGGGAGGGGAGAGCGCAGAGCAGCGGCGGTAGAATGTGCGTACGACGTCCCGGCCAGAGCGGAAAGTGAGGGGCGACGGCAACGTCTCCGCTGACGCTGCCGTGCGTGCCTACCGTTCCCGTTACGCACACGCACACACACGCACATGCACGCACACGCAATCTGCACGGCCAAGTTGGCAGAGGACAGGTGGTCAGAACACTGGCCTGGAAGCCAGACTTTCTGGGTTCAAACCCAGGTTTCAAAACCTGCTGGCTGTGTGACTTTGAACCGGCTCCCAAACCTCCCTGGGCTCGAGTCCTGACCCGCCTCCTGGGCGTTGGGGGGTGCTGGGGGCTGTGCCCAGCAGTGCACGGTCAGCGCCCACTCTCATGGCGGCACTGCCGCTTCTACGGAGGACCCCGAGTTTGGCTCGGTGCCACGGCACTGGTGGGTGCACTGAGGGGCGTAAGCCGCCACCTCTACAGTGCGACACGTCCAGTGGGTGCCAGGTCGCGGACGCGGTGCCTTCTGTGCCTTCTCACCGCGCCCTTATACCTCCCCTGTGAAAACCCTCTCATTCCCACCTTCCAGAAGGAGACAAACGGGGTCCCACCGACCACAGGGCCGCCGGAGCACCTAGGGAGCACCCAGGGAGCACCCTCGCAGCCTCCCTGGCCGAGCTAGGCTCTGATGGGACCTCAGTCCAGAACCACAGCCAAGGACAGGGGCTTGCGTGACAAAGCGCCAGGCCTGTGACGTCCGCTAAGCGTGGGTGAAGCAGTCTCCACAGCCTCAGCGTTGCCCAGCGGGGCTTTAGGGGTTTGGGGGTTTGTGTTTTGAATGAGAGACTGGGGCTGTTTCCGGCAGGGGTCCCTTCCACGACTCTTTGGTGCCCAAGGCTTTCTCGAGGAAAGAGGGTGTCAGAGCACGACCCTGTGGGGGGCCCCCTGTGGCTGGTCCCCATGTCTGGGTCTCTCAGTTGTCGTGAGCAGCCCACGACGCCTGTGGAACCCTCCTCCGTCTCATTCTAGAATTTCTCTCCCGCAGACACGCCTGCCAGAGAAGGCCACGCGGTGGGGGGGGCGCGGGGGGAACCGCTGGCTCACGTCTGCTCGGTGGGCACACAGCACCCCAAGACGCACCCGCTTACTTTAAGGGTGGGGATCTGAAGGATGTCCCCCAGATGCTGAAGTCCACTCCGACTCAAGTCTAGGATTGGCGAGGAGGAGAAGATGGCCCCGGTCACCCTCGTGTGGCCATCTTCGCAGGCAGAAGCCGTCGGGCTCCCCGCCTGAGCCGCACCGCCCTGGGGCGCCGCAGCCTCAGCGCCGGCTCCCTCCATCCGCGAGGATGCGAATCTGCGAGGCCGCTGCTCACCCTCCGCAGCCTGGAGTCGCCTGGAGACGGGAGGGGACACAGCACAGTTAGGACCGCTGCTCGTTCACGGGCGGCCGGGCTCGCTGCGTGGCCAGGCTGCTCACAAAACCCCCAGTTTTGAATGCACAGCATCATCAAGTTGACTTTTAAATTCGTGTAAAAAAAAAAAAACAACAAAACAATCCTGGGATGCAAGAAGGTCCGGATACGACGTCCTGCGGCTCACTCGGCCCCACGGAGTTCTGCGACGTCACTTTTAACGCCTGGGAAACGCAGAACACGAATGGCCACGTCGGGGAGGCAACGGGCCGGAACGCGTCCGAGTCCGACAACAGCGCCCCCCTCCCGCAAGCGGGGCCTACGGAACCGCCCCAACGGCGCGCGGCCCCCGCTGCGGGGCGCGTCTCCGAGCCCACGGGCCGTGGGGCGGGCGCCTCCAACCGCCCACCCCGCCGGCGAGGCCAAGGTTTGAAAGCCGGGAACAGCACCCCAGAGCCTACGCGAGGGCGGGCGGGCGCCGCGGCTGCTGCAGGTGCCCGGCGTCCCTATCCCGGCCGGGCGGTCCAGGCCCGGGGCGCGGCCTGTCCCGAGCACCGCCTTCCTCCCGCAGCCGCCCGCCCGCCGCGCCCGCGAGCCACGCGACCCCCTCACCTGCGGCCCTACCCCTGCTTCTCGCCAGCGGCGTCCCCGCACTAGCACATCCGGGAGCCGTGTTCGCCAGCCTGGAGCTGCAGCCAACAATGGAGGCCTCCGGCGCACGCGGTCGCCATGGAGACGCCCGGCCGGCCCTACGGGGCCCAGCAGGCGCCAAGCCGCGCGGAGGCGTGGTGCGCGTGCGCGCGAGGCCCTGCCTGCCGCAGGCTCCGCCGGGACCTGGCGCTGGCCCGCCTCCCGCGATCCCCGGTGCGTGGGGCAGAAGCGTGCCCGAGAGTAACGGGGTCCAGCGCACGGGCCCCTGAGCACAGCCAACTAGCGCACGGGACGGTCGCTTTCGGGCCCGCCGCCGGCGTCCCGAATTCGCTAGCCCGCCGAGCCTGAGTCGGCGCCTCAGGGCGGCCCTGGGTCCTCCAGGGCCACAGGTGTCGCAGCGGGCGGGCGGGCGTGCGACCCAGCGGCGGCACCTGCACCCATGGGGGCAGGGCGCGGTGGGCCGGGAAGGTTGGAGGTGAACTGAGGACCGGTGACCTGCCGGAGACCGGGCGCCCTGAGCTCCACCCACGGGTGGGCCGGCCCCGTGGGTGTCCTGCCGCCGCGGCGCCGTCCCTCACCCACCGCGGACCTCCCCGGAGCACGACGGGCGGAAAGCGCCCCCGCCTCCCGCCGCTGAGGACGGTGGGCCGCAGCCAAGCCCGGGCCCCGCCCCGCCCTTCGAAGTAGAAAGGTTTTCCGGCTGCTGCTGCGACGCCTGATCTCGTGCGATATTCCTCTCGTGACCCAGTTAGGAGACCCTGGGAAAGGGGTGTTCCCCAAATCACAGGTTCCCCCACGTTTCAGTAATTTCTGGTGAGCAGGGCACGTTCTCTTGTTGAGAAAGCAGTGACCGGTGAAGCAGCTTCTTGAGAAGACACAACTACAAGGGCAGCGAACATCTCTAACTGACAAAAGGAAGGCCGAGCATACGAAGTGCTTAGTTTCCAGGGTCAAACGAAAAGCTTTCAGAACTCCGGCTCTGGCTTGAGCAGCTTGGTGTGTATGCAGAGATCGCTACTTTCAGTGTCTGATGGACGCTCCTCATCTTGAAATTCACACGTGAGAGAGTAAAAATTCTAGTGTATCTGTTTCCAATTGCTGTTGGGACAACTCAGGAAAAACGTGGCTGCCTGCGACGGCCACATGGACCATCTCACAGTTCCGGAGACCGGACGTGGCCCTGGTCTTCCTGAGCGAGTTCAAGGCGTGGAGACGCATCGGGACACACAGACCAAGACGCTCCCAGCGGCCGCGCTCACTGCAGCGAGCCCGGGGCGGGACTTCAGAGGCCAGGACAGGAGAAGGTCCTGAACGCGACGGCTCCGGCCACGAGGAGGCACCTGAGAAAGAGGAAGCCCCAGCGCCAGCAGCGCTCGTGTGCGCGAGACTGAGCGTGAAGTCACCAGTGTAGATGGCCAGGCTCTAAAACAAGAAAAACCAAGGGCTGGCCCGGCCCACCACTCAGACTGAGGGCAGGCAGGGGATGGAAGTGTGCGTGGCGGGCGCCATGGGCTCGGTGTGTCCCCCAGAATTCACACGTTGGAGTCCCACGGCCCTCAAGACGGGGTTCTGTGTGGAGGCGGGGTCGTCATGGAGTAAAATGAGGTCATGTGGACGGCCCCAGCCAATAGGGCTGATCCGCCCAAAGAGGACTTTGGGACAGGGACACAGAAGCACCGTGCGTGAGGACACAGGGAGAGGCAGTCGTCAAGGGGAAACCTGCACCTTGGTCCTGGACTTCTGGGCTCTGCGCTGCCCGAAATAAAGGTCTGCTGTTTACAGCCACCATTGGGGGTGTTTTGTACAACAGCCCCAGGATACTAACGCCATGGGTGCTGGAGGACCAGGGGTTCCCCGGCCAGGCCGGGGGACAGGTGCTGGTGCACCAGCGGGGGCGGGGGGCGGCGGCCGGTGAGGCCCGGGGCTGCTTATGGGTGTTACATTTGCACACTCAGGACACTACATGTTGCCTGTGCCACTTTGTGTGCATCGATTGTTACAAAGCAAAGGAGCAGTTAGTCTAGTCTAGAGGGGCAGCCGCTAATGGCAGTGAGTGCGGCGGTGACCGCCTCACGGGCCGGCTCCGCGGGGAGCCGTGGACACGCGCTGCCGCTCCGCGCTGCGCCCTGAGCGAGCAGCGCCGCTGCGCCGCGCCTGCTGGGCCGCCCGGCCGGCCGGCATCTGGGTAACGGCAGGAGGTGGGGCGGCTGCCCCGATTTTACCGGGAAGACAGAGGGGCAGGGAGGTCTCGGCGGCCCAGGGTGGCCTCCTGGTCCGTGGAGGGCCCCTGGGGGGCCCCGAGCCTCTGGCCGCCTGCCTCCTTCACGCACATCGGGGGCCGCACCAAGGCGGGGATCTCCCCCACAGCGAGACTCGCAGGTGGAGAAGAGAGTCCTCCACGGGCCTGGGTGGGACCACAGAACCAGCACACTCACGGTCTCACAAGAGCCGCACCCCACGAGCACGGAGGCCCCTGGCCGGGGCTCAGCCTCCGCGGGGACAGAGGGCCTGGGCACCAGTCAGACAGGCTGCGCAGCATCACCTCGTCTCCACCCCTGTGGGCCCCCTAACCTGGCCTCCCAGCTCCAGGCCCAGCACCTTTACACCGGTGTCGGCGCCTGGCCGCCTGGGGCCTGGGAGGTGGGAGACACAGGCTCAGCGCGGTAATGGTTTCTGCCTTGTCCTTCACAGCCCCGGCTGGCAGGGAGGTGGTCCCCAAGTGATGTGTGGCCCAGACAGGACACAGGCCACCTCTGCTGCCATTTCATTGGTCAAGCGAGGTGAGGAGCGACAGGGAATTTCAAACGTGTGGCGGTGGAGGAATGTAGTGCCCCGCACTGGGGCCGAAGGAGGCCGAGTACAGCAACTGGGGCGTGGGCCAGCCAGCGAGGGTCTGCGAGGGCAGGACAGAGCCGAGCAGCTGAAGGGTGTGCGTGGAGGGAGCCGGGGCGCAGTGCGGGAGACCGCAGGGCCTGGTGGCCACGCATCCCCGGTGTTACCGTGGGGCAGAAGAAGGCCCCTGGACTTCGTGGGATAGGAAGGAACGGCCGTCCCTATGGCCGGGTCGGACGGCAGAACTTACGGAGGCCAAGGCTTCCCAAAGTCTGTCAAACAACCCCGTAACAAAAAACGACTCTTCGGTGACAAACTCTTAGGCTCAGGGAGCTTGGCGACCTCACCTGGCTGTGTGAACAAGGGCGGAGGTGCAAGGCGTCAAACCGTGCCTCGGGCCCCCGCCACACAATGCAAAGCCCGTGGGGAGTCCAGTGGTCAGTGCCCAGGCCCCCGTTGGACCTGCGCAGGACCAGGGTACCCCGGGGCAACTCGAGCGCACGGTCTCCGGGGGCGGCCCTGGGGCGCGGACCGGCGCCAGGGGCTCCAGTTCAGCCCGGAGGCCGCACTGAGAGCGGGACCAGAGACCCAGCCAAGGAGACCCCGGCGCGCGGCCGCACATGTTTAGCGCCGCCGCCACCCCAGCGCTCGAGAGCGCGCGCTCGCGCGCGCGGCCGGGCTCTGGGCCCGCCGCCCCTCCCCCTCCCTCCCGAGGCTCAGTTTCGCTAGCCACCTGCCCCCTCCCCGGGGGTGACCCGCACCCGGCCCAGCACCGCGGGGCCGCCTGTCCTGGGCGCGACCGACCTCCGTCCCAGCGCAGCCCTTTCCCGCCGCCCCATCCCGGGCCCGGCGCGGCCCGGCGAAGCGCAGAGCCGCAGGCTGACGCTTAGGGTCCCCAGACAGAGCGCCGGCTTTGTTCACGAAGGCAGCGGGGATGCGGGGGTTCAGGGGAACCCCTCGTCTCCGCGGCCCCGCCGGGCGGAGGTGCCTCGTCCGTAGACCATTGGGCGCCGCGGCCCCAGTGTCAGCGCGGGACTGGCCCCTCCCGAAGTGATCAGCGGGTACAGGGCTCCGCGCGCCGCCAACCGCGCCAGTCCCGCCCCGTCTCCGCCCCCAGCGCTCGGCTTCGCCCCGGCTCCTTCGCGCCGGCCCCGCCCCGGCCCCGCCCCCGCGCGCTCGCAGTCCGCGGAGCCGGCACGGCCTCCAGGACCCGCGAGCGCTGAGGCTGAGGCGCAAGGCGGCAGCTGCCAGCCGCTCCCACTCCCGCTCCCGCCCGGCGGGCGGGCCATGCCCGGGTCTCCGGCCGCGGTGCGCACCCAGGCCCGGCGATGAGGAGCGGCGCCGAGCGCAGGGGCAGCAGCGCCTCGGCGCCCCCCAGTTCGCCGCCCTCCGGCCGCGCGCGCCCTGCGGGCCCCGACGCGCCCCTGGCCCTGCAGCCGCCCGCCACCGGCCAGCCTCGAGCCCGGGACGCGGGCGATGCCCGCGCGCAGCCGCGCCCCCTGTTTGCGTGGAGCAAGTGGAAGAAGAGGATGAGCTCGTCCATGTCGGCGGCCCCCGCGCGGAGGCCCGTGTTTGACGACAAGGAGGACGGTGAGTTCGGCCGCACGGAGGGGACTTGAGCCGCTCCGGGGACAGCGCGGGGCCCCCACCCGCTCTCGCAGGAGGCCGCGGCGGTAGGATTTCCTCGCACCCGGACTCCGCAGCCGCCGGGTGGGAAGGCATCCAGGGCTGCTTGGTTTCCGAGGAAACTCGGGAACCGTGCCGGAGGTGCCCACGCGTGTCCACAGCGCCCACCTGCATCCTCCACCTTGTCCAGGGACTGCCCGGCGGCTCCAGGCTTAGGTGGGACGCACCGAGGGCTGCACGTTTTCATTTTCCTCTTAGGGGGCCTTGCGCCGCTCCGTGTGCTGCGCCCATTGTGCAAGGGGGTGCGTGCCCCACAGGTGGCTGGGAGCCCCGGCCCTCGCTCTCGTCTGAGGTGCGCGCCAGGCGCTCGGCCAGGGGCATGCCCAGCCTTCGAGCTGGGATGTGCTGTGGCGGTGGCCTTGCCTTGTGCACAGAGCTGCCCTTTGGGGAGCCGGTTTCCTCCTCCAGGCGAAGCTGCCACCCAGAGCTTAGGTGCTCCTCAGTGGCCCCAGGGAGGTGGGTGCTGGTGGAAAGCAGGCGACAGGCAGCGGCCGACCTGCTCACGCCTTCGGCGCCCTGCTGGGCAGCAGGGACCTTCGCAGGGAGGGGGCTGTGTGGTGTCCACCTTTGGGGCACGGTGACACATTTACACACAAACACACAGCTCCTCCCCACAGATGCCATGCCGATCGCCCCAATGGTACCACGATGACACACTGGATGTTTTTGACATTTTCCTAAAATAGATGAAATATGCACTTTTTCCTTTGTAGGCAGGCTGCAGAGGTCTGATGGATCCTTTATAATTTTAGAGCACAGCTCAGCGCAAGAGCCCAAGCGATTTATTTCTGATAAATAATTTAAGCATTGTAGGAAATTACAATAGTCCGAGCTCAGGCCAGTGTTGGCGAGTGTGCAGGCTGGGTGCCAACCGTGGTCAGGGAGCGCGGCGGGAGCCTGCTGTTGTGCCGGGGTTGGGGTGGGCGCCGGCCGCAGGGAGGGGCCCCGACGCCGCTCCCCGTGCCTGGTTTTCAGGACCAGCCACGCGGCACAGTGTGACCTGGGACTGCCTTTCATTGTGTTCTGAATGTGGTGGGGGCAGCAGAGCTCACCGCTGTGAATGTTCCGTGTTACGTGTTTTTGTTTGTAGCACAAATATTCAACGTAAAGAAAGCCCAGAGTGAATTAGGAACGAGTGAGGAAGCAGATTGATGTCCGACTGCCGGGTAAGAGCGCGTCAGGGGCGACTCAGGATTTCAGCGCCGTCTGGTGCCGGCCGGGGCCGGCCGCGCTCTAGAGCCTGGCGCGCTGCTCCCTGAGGCCGGGGTGGAGACCCCAGTGCGGAACCAAAGCACGCGCTGCCCTCAGCCTGTTAGGGTGGACCTGTGCCGCGTGCTCCGGGTGTTACTTCTCAGGGTCCGAGGGTCACTGGAGAGGCGAAAGGCGCACAGCATCTGCTTAGGGTGCTCGCACTCTGATTCGAGAATTGCTTAGCACGCCCCGCCCCCCGCCCCGTATCTGCCTGCACGCGGGTGGCACGGACACCCGCTGTCGGGACTGCGGGAGGTGGGGACCGGCACGGGCCCCAGGTGACCATCGAGCACCTGCTTGTCACCGAACACGTGACCGGGGCTTACTCGGGCATCGGGGTGACCGGGAGGCCAGGCCCGTTTCTGGGGTTGGCGGCCCCTCTGTCCCACGCGCATCCCACAGACGTGTGTCCGTGTCAGGGCGCCCGCGGCTCGGGGGGGCCACAGCCGTGCCCGCAGCGGGGACGCTGTGCGGCTGTGAGCGTGGAGCCGTGGCTTTATTTGGGTGCAAAGAATGGGGTTTGGAAAGGAGGAAGGAACATCTTTCAGGAGGGGGCTGTGCCCTGACTCCGCCCCCCCCCCCCCAGGCTGGGTGTGCGGCCGCCTGGGCCCCCGGAGGGGCCGGGCGCGGGTGGGGCTGCTGACTCCCACTTACAGTCACGGTGCGGTTGCTATGGCAATGTGAAGCCTTCCGATGCCTTTTTTTTTTTTTATTAAAACACCCAATTAATACATCAAACTTGGTACACAGAGGAAAGGAAAAAAGAAAATGAGAGGGCAATTTAACAAAGTGCCAGGTAAATGGCGACAAAAAAGCGTGGTTGTGCTATGAAATAACTGTCCCTGCCAGTGCTGAGGAGTCTGACCCGCGGTCCTGACCTGGCAGGGGCGGGGGGACTGCGCAGGGCTCTGCGCCTCCCCTTCGCCCCAGAACCAAGGGCTGCCTTTTCCTCTCCCCCCGACCACCTTCCTTCCATTCTGTCCCTCCCCGGCTTCCAGAACAGTTCCTTCCAGGGACTGAGCCTGCGGGGGGCCTGTGTTTCTTCTGCTGCTCTGCCCCAGAGCTGTGCGGGGGGCCCTTCACTTCTCCTGGCCAGAGGGGCTGCTGGGAACCTGCTGGGGTGGGCCGCCCTTCTTAGCAGGGGCGGCGGGTCTCAGGTCAAGGGGCGTGAGCTTGCTCCTGGGGAGGGACTGAGGGCGGAGGAGGAGGCTGGCCTTCGCCCGGAAAGACGGGGAGCCCGGCCTTGGGCCGGTGTGCGGGCAGGTGGACGACGGGGCCACCAAGTGACCTTTCTTAACGTTAAAAACAAGTCTGTTTTTTTCTAACTATAGAAGCCATGACACGTGTACATTTGTAAGAATTTCATATTTTCTTGTTTCTTCCTAAAATTGCCCCAGATAGGAAAACCAAGACACCTGTGAGCGCCGCTGCACAAGGGTGTCCCTCCCTTGTGCGCCCTCCCGGCCTGTCCCTGGGAATTTGTTGGGCGGCAAGAGGGCGCTCAGACATCGGCACGTCTCTAAGCCCCCACCCACCGCCCCGGGATGGGCAGTCAGGATGACTCTCCCGGGATGAGAGTCACTGCTTGGTGGAGAGAATGTTGTTTAATTCCCCTCCGAGGACACTGGGGTGTTTCTGTTTCATAAACACCGTAGACAGGTAGGCAGTGGACGTCCTTTGTACGGTCAGCCTGGCGCACCTGGCTGACGTCTGTGGGACAAATTCCCGGGAGTGACTTCGCACCGCCGCGGGGGTGTCTGTGTAAGGCAGCGTGTCGGCCCGCCCGGCCCCGGCGGAGAGCCGGCTGCTGTCCTGGGTGCCGCACGGTCACACAGCGGTGACCAAATAGAGGGGGCTGCCACGGGTGCAGGGGACCGGACAGAGGGGCCAGCAGGAGGCCACAGTAGACGAGGGAACGTGAGCAAATGACCGAAGGGCAGGAGGGGCCGGAGCAGAGGGCAGGGGAGGCCGGGAAGGGAGGCGAGTGCGTGCTTCTCTCGGGGCATGAAAGCCCTTTCCCCGAGTCCTGTCGAACCGGGAGCACGGACGAAGTCCTCACCGAGGACGCGCTCCTGGTTTTAGAGAGAAGGGAAGGGAGGGAGAGGAACACCCACGAGAGAAAGAAGTATCGACCGGTTGCCTCTTGTAGGCGCCCGGACTAAGGACTGACCCTGCAACCCAGGCGCGTGCCCTGACGGGGAGTCGAGTCCGTGCCCTTGCCATTTACAGGAGGCAGCTCCCGCGGAGCCGCACCAGGCAGGGAGGTGTTTCACTTTTTGACAACCTAACGGGCGAAGAGGTTGTATCAGCCCTTCAAGTTCCTTTGATTACGAGTGAGATTCGCCGTCTTTGCCTTCGATGGACGGACGGGTGCCCGTTGGGGCTCCAGCTGCTGGCACCTGCCCCGACCAACGCCTCCTGGTCAGAACTGGGGTGCTGCTGTCCTGCGCCTTCCACGGCTCTGAGTACGTGCAGGCCTCCCCTGACAGCCCCCCGCCCGCCCCCCCCCGCCTGTCATTTATCTGGGAAGGCTGCTAGTTCTGGTCTGGGGCCTCCGGGGCGTCTGGGTACGGCTGTGTGAACGGCGCGTGCTCCGAGGAGGCCTCAGGATCTCCGGCTCCGTTCCGCCTGGGGTCCCGCAGAGACGCGCCCCCGGGCGCAGGGGAGAACGGTGCCGGGGAAGCCTCTGCCTGCCCAGCTGCAGCTTCGCTCGCCACACCCGGAGTCCCGCCCCGGACTGAGCGCCTCTCCCTCCGGCGAGGCCTGTGCTCCCCCCGGGGGAGTGTGTCTGGGCTGCCGGGAGACCGAACACGCCCCTGTTGTGTGCTAGTCCCGTGTGTCTGTGGCTCCGTGCGCGGGGTCTTTCTGCCTGTCGCGTGGCCCGCGGCCCGGTTGCTGGAACAGCGCTCGCCGCGAGGGCGGCCCCTCTGCCCCCTTTCTGCCTGTCTCCCTGGGCCGTGTGGGTGGCGTCTGCAGAGGGCAACTCCCCGGCTGCGTCCTGGGGCCTGTGCCCCCCTGTCCTTTGTCCACTGCCCAGAGCCTGCAGGGCAGCGGAGGGTGCGGTGCGGCCGCGGGGGACTGACCCCGCCCGAGCTCCCAGTGCGGGTAGAGCCCCAGCTTTCGGAGCCCTCCCCGGGGGGCTGGCCTTGAGTTTTGGCAGGCGCCTCTCCCTCCCCTCCTGACCCTGAAACGCGGTGGGAGGGAGGAGTCTCTCTGTGGGGGCCCCCCAGGGCACCGCCCCCCGGCCCCCGCAGGGGCGCTGGGGGCTGCAGAGGCCCCTGCTTGGGGGTGGGCCTTGGGTCCCCGGGGCAGGAGGGCACAAAGCCCAGCCCCCTTGCACGTTCAGCCCTGGCCCCGGGGCGTTGCAGGCGCTGGTCTCCCTGTGGCCCCGTGGCCGGGAAGGACTTGGGACCCGCTGTCACACTCTTTATGTAACAAACGTCAGCTCTGCGTGTCTATCCATCTGGTTGTATGTTTTAAATGCTAAAAATAAGCCTGTTTTCTTTTAAAAATGTAACCGCCCAGCTTCCAGCTGAGATCTGCAGGAATGGGCTGGAGGCCTTTCTGCTCGGGGTTCTCTCTGGGGGCGCAGCGCCAAGGCAGGCTGGGGCGCAGCCGCTGAGCAGCGACGTTCCAGCAGGGCCTGGACACCC